AGGTTACAGAGGCTAAAATCTTTTTGATTTTGCCTCCAGCCGGACTTGAACCATTGACCTTGACTGTGGGGGTATGGGAGCTTAACAATTAAGCTATAGGACCCACACCCAAAATGTTATTTTATGTTCATGATTATTTGGACTATATTCAAGAATTTTATAATAAGGAATCACAAATTGAATCATCTGAAACAATTAAAAAAATTATTGATCTTTTTAATAACTCTGAAGAAAGTAAATAAGTATGAATTTATTTAACTTTTATTTGGTATTATGCTAAAAAATTTATTTTTGATCTTAAGTTCTTCCAAAAAGAAAATAAGCTTATGATTTCATATATTGAAAATAAGATTCAACAACTTGAAAGTTTTTTAAAAAATGATGAATTAAGTACTGATTTTGGTAGTAAAGTAAATTTATGCATTACAAATCTTAGATCAGATCTGAGTCTTTTTAATAGTGTATTTCAAATAGCTTTTACTTCTGCTTATACGAAGTTTAATAATCACTTTTTACATCATCCTTCCTGTTCTCTTTTTATTGCTATACAAATGTTTTGATTCTTGATTTGTAAAATTAACTATTGCTAATTGTAATATTCAAAATTATTCAATCCAGATTTCTGAATTAAAAAATCCTTCAGATGCTTTGTTAAGAGAATGGGCATTTTACTGTAATTTAGACTTAACTTTAGTTGAGTTTGATAATTTAGATGAATTTTGGAACAAAAATCTTCTTTGTTACCACTTTTAAGTAAGATAGCTTTAATTTACATTTGGCTACCTATTTCTTCTTGTGCTGTAGAGAGAAGTTTCTTTGTTTATAATAATGTATTAGAGGATGACAGACAAAATTTAAGTGAAAATTCCTTAAAAATGTTGAATATGCTTTATTTTAATCAACAAAAATAATAAAATTTAAAGCAGATTTTTTGGTTACATTATAATTTTATTTTTGATTAGTCAATAACGATAACGATTTTTTTTAAATAATCGATATTCAAAATAATTCCAAATATTTAAAATTTTTATCCAAATTTTATCTAAATATTGGATAATATTTATCCAAATTTTGTTGATACCCAAATAAATTTTCGTAATTTGATATTCAAATTTTTGCAGGTCCCTGATACCGACACTTTGAAATAGATTATTGATAGTTGAATAATAATTGTAAAGTTCTTTACTACACTTAGATCCTTAATACAAGTCTAGTGATTATATTATACGTACACCTGATTTAAGCATATTTTAGGTTATGTAAAATGGTTTCAATTTTATGAAACCTTTCATGCCTAATAAAAAATACCGAATTCGTTCGCAAATGAGTGTTGCAGAGCGAAAAGCTGGATATGAATATTTAAGTTTAATCAGGCGAATTTAGTCCTACCGATAATCAGTTAATTTTACATTATACAGTTTAGAAAACCAACCATAATAAAGTAAAAAAAAAAAAAAACCAGATAGAAGGTTTCATTAGAGCTGTAGAACTTCATAGTCAAAAATAAGGTCTAATTCTCGTCTGTTTAAAAAAATTAGCTTAGTAATAAGTTGATTTTATAGGGTTTTGGGAAGTTATTACTATACTAACGTTTTTAAACGGACGAAGATTTAGATCTTATTTTTGGCTATGGAGTCCTAAAGTTCTAATGAAACCTTCAATACAGCTTTTTTTCTTTCATTATGATTAGTTTTTCGTTTTTTAAAAAAGTACTCTAAACTGTATAAATAATGTAAAATTGAATTTATTAGCCAATCAGACAAACTTCTGCCTATGAGTTCGGCTAAACTTTCATGGTAAAAACTTAAATATGCATGTACTATATGTTCTCTATAGCTAAATAGAAAAAACTATTACGTAGCGGTACGTAGAATAAAAATTAGTACGTATTAAAATTAAGGTTATGGTTAGGTGTAACGGTAAAATTTGATTTTTTATTAATTACATGGGGTTACTATGTAATTATTTGATACGTATTAGAGAAAGGGCACACAATGCATAAGGCCACTATTGAGTCTAGAAATTTGTGTGATTTTTAATCTTAACCTTAAATAATTGACAACAAAATTACTTGTGATTTATATGTATTTTATATTATATGAAGTATATATATCTTTTAAAAAAATTTATTAATAATATTAACAGGTCATAAAGTCTTCAACTTTCATTATGACCAAATGACCATGATAGGTTATAAAGGTCATATAGGTCATTGCCCAACACTGCTCCAGAGGGTGCTAAAAAAACCTCATAGACATGAATTAGGTACACATTTAATTTCATTCTAATTATAATGTTGGCTAGGTGCTAAGAACCAAATTAACAAAAAATATGTTTTGTGGATAATTGATTTTTATATTGTAAAATTCATAATACATAACCGTATTAGTAGAAAAATTAAAACCCTACACAGGTTAAAAATACAAAATAGGAAAGCCCAAAAAATCCTTAGATTTATTAGAAGGGATTTTAGTATTTATGTAAATTAATAATCCACCTTATTGCGTTCCGAGAGTATATTTGCGGGTTAAAAAAAAAAATAACACTCAAAGCATTAATTTAGTGAGAAATATATTGAAACACGTATGAAACAACGCCTTGATTTGCCTCAGTCTTTAGGATATTATCATGGATCTTATTCATATCATTTCCACCAGTGAAGTGATCCCATCTATGAATAAGTGATTTAGTTATATAATGTAAGTTTAAGGAAAACAATAATGCACAAAAAAATACATACGAGCTTGTATCACTGTAATTCATCACCTCTCCTTGTGGTCGAGATATCCGTTGAACACCTTTTACACATCTAAGACACTTGAAAGTATCATGTGTATCGCACATAGTATCTGGATTGAAAAGGAAAAGACGCTTTAAGGACTCAAATGTATAATGTCTTTCAACTTCGGAATCTTCATCCACGACACATGAGGAGAGTGATTGTTTATGCGATTGACGTTGAAAGATTTTCTCTTCAATAGATCCCGTCGAAATAAATCGATATATGAAACCTTTATAAATTCAAATAAGATTAGATAAATCAATTAATTAATAATCATTCAATTTTATTAATGGGACCCCATACTATATTTTATACAAATATGTATATAGTATAAAGCATTATTTCTCGCTACATACAATTTTTCTTTTGTCCATCTCTCCAAACTCGTGCCAATGCCTATTAAAAATGTAAATTAATAATTGTGATATTTTTATATTATATTTAAGATTATCATAAACATATTTACTTGCTGATCTGATGCAGGATTCCAATCTGTCAATATAGAACGGTAAATATATTTTTTAAAAAACATATAAACGTAATTAATATATTAACATACCTGGATCAAACAAAACAAGCCGATTTGCGCCAATAAGATTCAATCCACATCCACCGGCTTTACTGCTAAGTAGAAAAACAAATTCTGAACTGTGTGGGTCGTTGAACTTACTTACGAGAGCCTGGCGCTTTTTTATTGGCATTGTACCATCAAGACGCAAACAACCGTATCTTATAAAGTGCAAATGCTATCACTTAAAAATATGTTTATAAATTAAATCAATAATAAAATAATTATATATTACTTTCTGGTTTTGCACAATCTTTCGAATACGTCTAAAGTTTGCGTATAGTTCGAAATCAGGACAATTTTATCCTTTGTCTCATTTTTAATCTTTGCTAACATTCTATAGACATTAAAAATAGCAAATATCGAATAAGTAAAGAATGAATATGAGATAAATTATGCGATAAATAATTACCTATCCAATACAATCATTTTTCCTGAAAACTCTGGTTTTACTGTTCTCGTCTTGTCTGTTATTGAATACCCTGGAGGAAAGCATTTTTGAGACCCTCTAAGCTCTTTAGGTAGATTAAGCAAGTCCGGATGGTTGCATAATTTCTTAAGCATAGTAATTGCTATTAGAGTATTCATGGTTAGAAAAATGTTATATATTTAATATCTTACATAAATTCTCAAGCACATATCAAACTATCGAGTCCGGATACCCTTGAGTGGTTGAGACGATGCGCCACGAAGAAGACCTTGAATTTCTGGTGAAGTAAGGAACAAATCATATAATGACACTTGAAATTCGCTCAAACGACAAAATACGACGTGTTCGTACTTCACGGGCACTACAAAAAATTATTATACACGTTGAAATTCTTGTGATATTATTGAAATTTCGAAAAATATGCGTCAACAATAGACTTACGATATTTTGACAAAAGATCGTTATTCCGCCTAATTATAAACTTGCTTACGACTTCCAATAATTCGGATAGCTTTTGATCACTAGTTTCTCTCTCTTGTTCAGAAGCATCAGCGTCACGCCCACGTAAAATAGGGTTTTCATAATTTTTACGAAATTCACTAGGTGTTCCAAGAAAATTAGGATTGGCAAAGTTCAACAGTGAAAAATATTCTGAAAGATCATTCTGAGATATTTAAATCATTATTAATACCATTTATACACAACATAAATATATAAAATAACAATCCTGACCTGAATTGGCGTGCCCGACAAAATAACTCTTCGTTGAACTTGAAGCGAATTTAAAGCCTGGAATAACTGAGAACCTAAATTGAGAATAAATCAAATGAATTAATAATCATGAAAATAATAATAAAATTAAATATGTTAAATCTTAATAATTGACTTACTCGAATTTTTTAGTCTATGGCCTTCATCACACAATAATAAGCCAAAATGGGTAGTCTTCAATTCAGTTATATTTACTCGAAGAGTCTCATACGAAATGATCAACACTTTTAATTTAAAAACAAGGAAAGAAAAACATAAATGTAAATGAATATGCCAAATCATTACTGTATATTAAACGTTTTTTTACGTATTTCATATGTACCTGGTTGAACAATCATCTTTCCTTTAGCACCAGCATAATGCCTCAATTCTTTTACTAAATTTTCCTTTTTCCCCTTGCTGTCCATAACCAGTGCCTTTAATCTTATAGGTCCAAGCCATTTTACTAATAAACGAGACACATCAATACTTATAATAAAAACGTGACTGAATCATTTGTATTTTATTACCTACCCAATTCATTCGCCCAATTATGCACAAGACTTGATGGACAAACGATAATGCATTTTTCTATTGTCCCTTTACCAGCTTCAGGTGATTGTTTAAGTAATGTCCACAAAAGGGTGATGCATTGGAGCTGTATTATATAACATGAACTTAATATTGATGAAATAAAAACGCGTAACATAGCTCTTATAAATCTTTTAAAAAACAATTACAGTTTTACCAAGACCCATTTCATCAGCCATTATACATCTATTAGAAAATATTAAATCAATAAGCAAAAAAGGTTAACAGTACGAAATAAGTAGTAATTATATAGTCTATTCACCCATAAGCATTTTCAACTGTTCTTCCGGTAGTACAATTATACAAAAACTTGTAAATTTATAAAATTAATAACAAAGTATTCGATTCCCATTAACTAACATATGATATCCATGGATTATTTCAATACCTTTACACCTTCAACTTGGTGTGGTCGAAGTTTTTTACCCAAAACAGGATCTAAGAAAATGAACACTTTAATCATATAATCTAATAACAATCAATATAAGAATAAGAATAATAAATAGTAACATACCAACAACCACGTGAACTTTTTTGCCCACCTCATTCTTGATTCCCAATATTTCTGCAACAGATTTATTTTTGTTAGTTTTAAGGTTGACTTCTTCTTCCTTTGGTTTTAATTCAGGATCATCGTTCGGATCATAAAGTACGATCGCATCAGGAGCAGATGGATCAAACAAAGATCTCTTTGGAAAATTTCGAGAACCATAACCTAGACGCTTTTTCTGAATGCCGTCTTGATTGATTTCGAACGGAGGGTTTTTGATAAAAGTGGGTGGTATGAAAGGCCCAAAAACTTTTTTGTTGCGCGTGCGATTTTCATCAGTACAATAATCAGATTCAGGAATACAAATGTTTTCGTCATCGGCAGAGTCATTGTCGAGTTTAATACGCTTTGATGGATTTGAAATTAAAGGCTTTACTCTTTTTTCTCGTGATGTATTGGGTATGTTGTCACTAGTAGATGGTTTTAAAGGTATTCTTGATGGTGGTTTGAAAGGACGAAGTTTAAAATGGCTATTTAGCATTTTATCATATGAAAATTATGAACTCAGGGAAAGACAAGCGAATGTAGTAACAGAATAAATTGTTTGCTGATCTCTGAAGCATGCATGTTTATTTGTTTATTTCCTTATATATATATATATATTTTTTTTATACGTACGTATAATAATTGTGATTGGTTTGATTTTCTCTCTTAGCTATTTTATTTATATGACAATTTAACCACCGAAAAGTTAATATATATAAATAACCCTTTAAGTTTTCTCAAAAATTGCCACTAAACTTTTGTTTAACTAGAAAATGAGGATCGAACGCCCATGAAATACAAAAACAGCGCTCGAGCAGAATACTAGTATGCGAATTGATGAGAAGATCATTATTAAACCAGCATGAATTTTTGATTTTATCATATACTTGTGGGACTCGTGTATTTGTGGCGTAGGAGAGATCATCAGTTACACTCAGGTCAAAAAGTAGAATTTTTGGATATATAAAGAACTACCCCAAGAGCACCACCAAAAATTTTCGGTTACACAACATTTGTACTACATTCCAGCCAATAGTATTTTACGT